GAATGGCCTGCAGAGAGCTGGGACCAAAGTAACAAAGCCTACCATCAGTAACACACTACGCCGCCAGGGACTCAAATCCTGCAGTGCCAGATGTATCCCCCTGCTTAAGCCAGTACATGTCCAGGCCCGTCTGAGTTGTGTGGTCCTCTGTAGCTCAGCTGGTAGAGCACGGCGCTTGTAACGCTAAGGTAGTGGGTTCGATCCCCGGGACCACCCATACACAAAAATGTATGCACGCATGACTGTAAGTCGCTTTGGATAAAAGCGTCTGCTAAATGGCATATTATTATTATTATTATTATTAAGTTTGCTAGAGTGCATTTGGATGATCCAGAAGAGGATTGGGAGAATGTCATATGGTCAGATGAAACCAAAATATAACTTTTTGGTAAAAACTCAACTCGTCGTGTTTGGAGGACAAAGAATGCTGAGTTGCATCCAAAGAACACCATACCTACTGTGAAGCATGGGGGTGGAAACATCATGCTTTGGGGCTGTTTTTCTGCAAAGGGACCAGGACGACTGATCCGTGTAAAGGAAAGAATGAATGGGGCCACGTATCGTGAGATTTTTAGTGAAAACCTCCTTCCTCAGCAAGGGCATTGAAGATGAAACGTGGCTGGGTCTTTCAGCATGACAATGATCCCAAACACACCGCCCGGGCAACGAAGGAGTGGCTTCGTAAGAAGCATTTCAAGGTCCTGGAGTGGCCTAGCCAGTCTCCAGATCTCAACCCCATATAAAATCTTTGGAGGGAGTTGAAAGTCCGTGTTGCCCAGCGATAGCCCCAAAACATCACTGCTCTAGAGGAGATCTGCATGGAGGAATGGGCCAAAATACCAGCAACAGTGTGTGAAAACCTTGTGAAGACTTACAGAAAACGTTTGACCTGTGTCATTGCCAACAAAGGGTATATAACAAAGTATTGAGAAACTTTTGTTATTGACCAAATACTTATTTTCCACCATAATTTGCAAATAAATTAATTAAAAATCCTAAAATGTGATTTTCTGGATTTTTTTTTCTCATTTTGTCTGTCATAGTTGACGTGTACCTATGATGAAAATTACAGGCCTCTCTCATCTTTTTAAGTGGGAGAACTTGCACAATTGGTGGCTGACTAAATACTTTTTTTCCCCACTGTATATATACAGCTCTGGAAAAAATTAAGAGACCACTGCAAATGTTTCTTAAATCAGCATCTCTACATGTATGACAGCCATTCCATTCCAGTGTCTGTTGAATTCCAACACAGGCACACCTCATTCTACTAAATTAGTTACTGATTAGGTGATCACATGAACCAAATCTTATTTAACAAGGGAAAATGTATAAAAACCTCTGCTGTGGTCATCACTATCCTCTTGCAATAGGACCAGCTGGATGGCAAAAACAGTGCTAATAGTACCTCAAAAGTAATATTAATCAAAAAATAACTATTGACCATGCCAAAAGAGTTGAAAAGGAAAGTTTTGAGTGAGGAAAAGAAGGGTTCCATTCTGGCTTTACTGGCAGAGGGATACAGTGAGCGTCAGGTTGCTTCCATCCTTAAAATTTCAAAGACGGCGGTTCATAAGAACAAGGTCAAGCAGCAGACATTGGGGACAACAAAGCTACAGACCGGCAGAGGGCGAAAAATACTCTCTACTGACCGGGATGACTGCCAACTCATTCGGATGTCACTCAACAACCGTAGGATGACATCAAGTGACCTACAAAAATAATGGCAAACGGCAGCTGGGGTGAAGTGCATGGCAAGGACGGTTCGAAACAGGCTCCTAGGGGCAGGGCTGAAGTTGTGCAAAGCTAGAAAAAAGCCCTTCATCAATGAGAAGCAAAGAAGAGCCAGGCTGAGATTTGCAAAAGACCATAAGGATTGGACCGTAGAGGACTGGAGTAAGGTCAGCTTCTCTGATGAGTCCAATTTTGAGCTTTGCCCAATACCTGGTCGTCTAATGGTTAGACGGAGACCTGGAGAGGCCTACAAGCCACAGTGTCTCGCACCCAGTGTGAAATTTGGTGGAGGATCGGTGTTGATCTGGGGGTGCTTCAGCTAGGCTGGAATCGGGCAGATGTGTCTTTGTGAAGGACGCATGAATCAAGCCACGTACAAGGTTGTCCTGGAAGAAAACTTGCTTCCTTTTGCTCTGACATTGTTCCCCAACTCTGAGGATTGGTTTTTCCAGCAGGACAATGCACCATGCCACACAGCCAGGTCAATCAAGGTGTGGATGGAGGACCACCAGATCAAGACCCTGTCATGGCCAGCCCAATCTCCAGACCTGAACCTCATTGAAAACTTCTGGAATGTGATCAAGAGGAAGATGGATGGTCACAAGCCATCAAAGAAAGCCGAGCTGCTTGAATCTTTGCGCCAGGAGTGGCATAAAGTCACCCAGCATGTGGTGGAGAGCATGCCAAGAAGCATGAAAGCTGTGATAAAAAATTAGTGTTATTCCACCACATATTGATTTCTGAACTCTTCCTAAGTTAAAACATTACTATTGTGTTGTTTAAAAATTATCATGAACTTATTTTCTTTGCATTATTCGAGGTCTGACAACACTGCATCTTTTCTGTTATTTTGACCAGTTGTCATTTTCTGCAAATAAATGCTCTAAATGACAATATTATTATTTGGAATTTGGGAGAAATGTTGTCAGTAGTTTATAGAATAAAACAAAAATGTTATTTTTACCCAAACACATACCTATAAATAGTAAAACCAGAGAAACTGATCATTTTGCAGTGGTCTCTTAATTTTTTCCGCAGCTGTTTATATACAGTGGGGAAAAAAAGTATTTAGTCAGCCACCAATTGTGCAAGTTCTCCCACTTAAAAAGATGAGAGAGGCCTGTAATTTTCATCATAGGTACACGTCAACTATGACAGACAAATTGAGGAAAAAATATCCAGAAAATCACATTGAATTTATTTGCAAATTATGGTGGAAAATAAGTATTTGGTCACCTACAAACAAGCAAGATTTCTGGCTCTCACAGACCTGTAACTTCTTCTTTAAGAGGCTCCTCTGTCCTCCACTCTTTACCTGTATTAATGGCACCTGTTTGAACTTGTTATCAGTATAAAAGACACCTGTCCACAACCTCAAACAGTCACACTCCCAACTCCACTATGGCCAAGACCAAAGAGCTGTCAAAGGACACCAGAAACACAATTGTAGACCTGCACCAGGCTGGGAAGACTGAATCTGCAATAGGTAAGCAGCTTGGTTTGAAGAAATCAACTGTGGGAGCAATTATTAGGAAATGGAAGACATACAAGACCACTGATAATCTCCCTCGATCTGGGGCTCCGTAGGGTCAAAATGATCACAAGAACGGTGAGCAAAAATCCCAGAACCACACGGGGAGACCTAGTGAATGACCTGCAGAGAGCTGGGACCAAAGTAACAAAGCCTACCATCAGTAACACACTACGCTGCCAGGGACTCAAATCCTGCAGTGCCAGACGTGTCCCCCTGCTTAAGCCAGTACATGTCCAGGCCCGTCTGAAGTTTGCTAGAGTGCATTTGGATGATCCAGAAGAGGATTGGGAGAATGTCATATGGTCAGATGTGGAGGACAAAATGCTGAGTTGCATCCAAAGAACACCATACCTAATGTGAAGCATGGGGGTGGAAACATCATGCTTTGGGGCTGTTTTTTTGCAAAGGGACCAGGACGACTGATCCGTGTAAAGGAAAGAATGAATGGGCCATGTATTGTGAGATGTTGAGTGAAAACCTCCTTCCATCAGCAAGGGCCTTGAAGATGAAACGTAACTGGGTCTTTCAGCATGACAATGATCCCAAACACACCGCCCGGGCAACGAAGGAGTGGCTTCGTAAGAAGCATTTCAAGGTCCTGGAGTGGCCTAGCCAGTTTCCAGATCTCAACCCCATAGAAAATCTTTGGAGGGAGTTGAAAGTCCGTGTTGCCCAGCGACAGCCCCAAAACATCACTGCTCTTGAGGAGATCTGCATGGAGGAATGGGCCAAAATACCAGCAACAGTGTGTGAAAACCTTGTGAAGACTTACAGAAAACGTTTGACCTGTGTCATTGCCAACAAAGGGTATATAACAAAGTATTGAGAAACTTTTGTTATTGACCAAATACTTATTTTCCACCATAATTTGCAAATAAATTCATAAAAAATCCTACAATGTGATTTTCTGGATTATTTTTTCTCATTTTGTCTGTCATAGTTTACGTGTACCTATGATGAAAATTACAGGCCTCTCATATTTTTAAGTGGGAGAACTTGCACAATTGGTGGCTGACTAAATACTTTTTTCCCCCACTGTATATATATATATATTTTTTTTTAATTACGCTGCTGCTACTCGCTGTTTATTATCTATGCATAGTCATTTTACCCCCTGTATATAGCCTCGTTATTGTTATTTTATTTTAAAAAATTCTTAAAACTGCATTGTTGGTTACGGTCTTCGGCAAATGTGACAAATAAAATGTGATTTGATTTTGATTTGATTTGGTCTGGCACTGACCTCTGAAAACCACTACGGTCCCGTTCCTCAGCGTAGTGATCGCGCCGACAGGACGACCGCTGCAGATGTTGGTGTCATTGTGTTCATCTGGAGGAAAAAGCCACATTTAAAAGGAGCCACATGTGAGGACTAATAAGAAAAACAACATGGAGAACGTGTTAAGTGAATCAGGACCATTTCTCCCAAGAACTGTTACTGCACAGCACACACTACTTAATGTCAACTGTTTGTTTGCTCTGTGAAGGAGTACTTTTTTCCAAACCACAGAAACTGCTGGACAGACTTGTTAGGCTCTGGGAAAACTGTCACATTTGACAGTTAATATAGTGCAGCTACGCTTGGCAGGAGGAAGCTATTTTCATCCAAGAGAAGTAATAAAACTCAGTGCTACCTATAAGAAAAGTAGAGGCTGGCGAATCTACCCAGTAATAGCTTTTACCATTGGTAATTAGTGCTCTACCACTTTGATTGAATTTCTTTGCAATATAATTAAAGTAAGGCAAAGCAAGGTCCAACATGGTTAAGCTTACCTGCTTGGTAGTCCCTGGGGTTGTCTGTGCCCAGAGCTTGGTTGATATCCGTGAAGGTGCTTGGCCGTGTGGATTTGGGCTTGGGTTTCTCTGTGGGTTTACTGGGCTTGGTTTTCTCTGTGTGTTTGTTTTGGGTGGGTTTGGTGGTGGGGATAGGAGTGAGCTTCATGGAGTTGCTGGTGGTCTCCACTGGTGCTGCCTCATCTCCTTCCTCTTGTCCCGCTGGGTCTGTGGTGGGACGCGTAGCCAGATCTCCAGTCTGGGGGACACTGTTGTCATTAAAACTATCTGGGGTGTCCCCTCTACCAGGTTTAGACTCAGAACCACTCTCAGACGCTGGTGGCTCAGAGGCCACATTGGGATCCTGTGGGTCTGAGGGGGTGGTTGTTGGGGCATCCTCCTTGCGGCTGTCCTGATCTGAGCTTGGGGTAGCTCCTTCAGGGGCACTGGGTGTCTGGTCAGGCTTGGTGGAGGGGGTGGTGCTGTCTGGAGAGGCAGGGGTAGTCTCAGGATCCTCTGGGGCTGAGGGTGTGCCCTGTGTGGGGCTGGTAGAAACTGGGATGGAAGCCGGGTCAAAGGCTGGCGTGGAGGCTGGGGTGGTGGCAGCATTCTCTAAGTTTGAGGGTGTGGGTTCGGATTCCTCTGGCAGTGTGTTCTCAGATTCTGCCTCCTGACCTTCAGGGTCCAATTCACTCTGTCCTTCAGGTAGGAGTTCAGGGGTGTCCTCTGTAGGAGTAGGCCCAGGCTGGGGCTCTGAGCTCGGAGAGGCCTGGTCGGAGGGCTGGAGGGCGACTGGGGAGGCGGGGGTGGGCTCAGAGGAGGATCCAGGGGGAGTTGGGTCGGCTGCAGACGGGCTGCTGCTGGAATCAGGCTGTCCCTCAGGATCACTGGAGTCTGGAAAACATGAGATTTGGGTCAGTGTTAGATTTGATTTGAATCCAGATGACTCAAAGTAGATTGTGAAACATCTTGTCAAATGCAATTTCTAGGAACAGTGAGATAGGACTATCTCATTGATGTTGGTATGTGAGAGATGGCTTGGCTATCATTTCCCGCTCTGTGCCCAGGTATAATGGTATACATATCAACTGTAAGCTCCTAACAGCACAATTAATTTCCCTGTTAGGACAATAGAATTTAATTTGTTACCTGTTGCCTCAGTGGGGGTCTCGTTGGCTGGTTCGGCAGTGGAGGGGTTGGGGTTGGCTGCTGGTGGAGTCCCTTCTGAGCCTGGTGTTGCCTCTGTAGCCAATTCCTCAGGGAAGGGTGTGTAGTCCCCCTTTAAAATGGCTTCCTTCTCAGGGTCATCCTCTATATCTGTGGTTGGGGGGGTAGTGTCCAGCGAGGGTTCTAAGGGGTCTGAAGAGGCTGGCTCAGTCGGAGAGAGCTCTGACCCGCTTGTGCTCTCTGGGGCAGGGGTTGCTTCAGGGTCATCTGGGTTAGGAGTTACCTCTGGATCCACCAGACCAGCTTCAGGGTCCTCTGAGTTAGGGCTTGCCTCTGGATCCTCTGACCCAGTATCAGGAGAGGGAACAGGAAGATCTGGCCAGGTCTCACCCTTCACATCTGTGGAAGGGAATAAGGGCAAAATGTATGTAAAATCATTACATCTGGAAATGAATTGAATAGTTTATTGAAATAACTGTATAATTCATTTCCTGGAGTTGAGTTATATGGGGCATATGTAATTATTATACAACTCTATCTGAGATGTTCTTGATGTTCTAGGTCATCCTGGCATGTCTTGAACCATACGGCCCACCGTATCAGCTATGGACAACGAACACAATTGCATTTTATCGATGGCAATTTGAATGCACAGATACCGTGGCGAGATCCTGAGGCCCATTGTCGTGCCATTAATTTGCCGCCATCACCTCATGTTTCAGTATGAGAATACACGGCCCCATGTCGCAAGGATCTGTACACAATTCCTGGAAGCTGAAAATGTCCCAGATCTTCCATGGCCTGCATACTTATCAGACATGTCACCCATTGAGTATGTTTGGGATGCTCTGGATCGACGTGTACGACAGCGTGTTCCAGTTTCCACCAATATCCAGCAACTTCGCTCAGCCATTGAAAAGGAGTGGGACAACATTCCACAGGCCACAATCAACAGCCTGATCAACTCTATGCGAAGGAGATGTGTCACGCTGCATGAGGCAAATAGTGGTCACAGCAGATACTAACTGGTTTTCTATTTAGTCTGCCAATAAGAATGCAGTGATTGACAGTCAAAAGCCTTGACCAGGTCGATGAAGCCGGCTGCACAGTACTGTCTTATCAATCGCGGTTATAATATCGTTTAGGACCTTGAGCGTGGCTGAGGTGCACCCATGACCAGCTCGGAAACCAGATTGCATAGCGGAGAAGGTACGGTGGGATTCGAAGTGGTCGGTGATCTGTTTGTTAACTTGGCCTTCAAATACTTTCGAAAGGCAGGGTAGGATGGATATAGGTCTGTAACAGTTTGGATCTAGAGTGTCACCCCCTTTGAAGAGGGGGATGACCGCGGCAGCTTTCCAATCTCTGGGGATCTCAGATGATACGAAAGAGAAGTTGAACAGGCTAGTAATAGGGGTTGCTACAACTTCGGCGGCTAATTTTAGAAAGAAAGGGTCCAGATTGTCTAGCCCAGTTGATTTGTAGGGGTCCTGATTTTGCAGCTCTTTCAGAACAACAGCTATCTGAATTTGGATGAAGGAGAAGTGGGGGGGGGGCATGGGCAAGTTGCAGCAGAGGGTGCAGAGCTGGTGGCCAGGGTAGGGGTAGCCAGGTGGAAAGCATGGCCAGCCGTAGCAAAATGCTTATAGAAATTCTCGATTATCGTAGATTTATCGGTAGTGACAGTGTTTCCTAGCCTCAGTGCAGTGGGTAGCTGGGAGGAGGTGCTTTTATTCTCCATGGCCTTTACAGTGTCCCAAAACTTTTTGGAGTTAGTGCTACAGGATGCAAATTTCTGTTTGAAAAGCTAGCCTTTGCTTTCCTAACTGATTGTGTATATTGGTTCCTGACTTCCCTGAAAAGTTGCATATCGCGGGGGCTGTTCGATGCTAATGCAGTACGCCACAGGATGTTTTTGTGCTGGTCAAGGGCAGTCAAGTCTGGGGTGAACCAGGGGCTATATCTGTTCTTAGTTCTGAATTTTTTGAATGGGGCATGCTTATTTAAGATGGAGAGGAAAGCACTTTTGAAGAACATCCAGGCATCCTCTACTGACGGAATGAGGTCAATATCCATCCAGGATACGCGGGCCAGGTCAATTAGAAAGGCCTGCTCACTAAAGTGTTTTAGGGAGCATTTGACAGTGATGAGGGGTGGTCGTTTACTAGGGGCTGAGGGGGGTCTGTAGCAAGCGGCAAAAGTGAGAGACTTATTTCTGGAAAGGTGGATTTTTAGAAGTAGAAGCTCAAACTGTTTGGGTACAGACCTGGATAGTATGATAGAGCTCTGCAGGCTCTCTCTACAGTAGATTGCAACTCCGCCCCCTTTGGCAGTTCTATCTAGATGGAAAATGTTGTAGTTGGGGATGGAAATGTCTGAATTTTTGGTGGCCTTCCTAAGCCAGGATTCAGACACTGCTAGAACATCAGGGTTGGCAGAGTGTGCTAAAGCAGTGAATAACTCAAACTTGTGGAGGAGGCTTCTGATGTTAACATGCAAGAAACCAAGGCTTTTACGGTTACAGAAGTCAACAACTGATAGCGCCTGGGGAGTAGGAGTGATACTGGGGGTTACAGGGCCTGGGTTAACCTCTACATCACCAGAGGAACAGAGGAGGAATAGAATAAGTATATGGCTAAAGGCTTTAAGAACTGGTCTTCTAGTGCGTTGGGTACAGAGTACATAAATGGGGCAGATTTCCGGGCGTTGTAGAATAGATTCAGGGCATTATGTACAGACAAGGATATGGAAGGATATGAGTACAGTGGAGGTACACCTAAGCATTGGGTAACGATGAAAGAGATAGCATCACTGGAGGTACCGATTGAGCCGGTCTCTGCGTGTATGGGGGGTGGGATAAAGAATCTATCTGAGGCAGGTTGAGCGGGACTGGGGGCTTTACAGTGAAATAGTACAATAACAACTAACCCAAACAGCAATAGGCTAGGCATATTGACATGGGAGAGAGGCATAAGGCAATCACAGGTGTTATTCGAGAGGGCTAAGACAACAACTGGTAATGACGACGAAAGTTTGGGCTGAGGCTAAACAGATAAACAGGATGGGGTACCGTGTAAAGGAACAGTCCAGCGGGCATCAGATGTGTAGCTGAGTGATCATAAGGTCCAGTGAACAGCAATAGGTAAGTCCGGGAGCAGTTCGTAGGCTGGTACAGCACAGGCGAGCAGGAGGCACGGCTGTTGATTGCGCGTGCTAGCAGGCCGGTGCTAGCAGATGGATCTTCGTGGTCATCACAACGGGAAGCCTGTTGAAACCACATCAGACGATTACGTCAGCAGACAGGTCGTGATGGATTGGCGGGGCTCCGTGGCGACACTAGGCGGTCCCGTCCGGTTGACAGAGAGGTGGATAGCCGGGAGATGGGCTCGAGGCTAGCTCAAGGCTAACTGGTGCTAGCTTTGGAACAAGTGGTGATCCATTCGGTTGCAGCTAGCTAGTTGTGATGATCCGGTGTTAAGGTCCAGTGATTCAGTGAATCCGGCAGAAAATCCTAAATGCTCTGGGTCGATGTCATGTGAAATCCATAGATTAAGGCCTAATTAATTGATTTCAATTGATTGATTTCCTTATATGAACGCTAACTCAGTAAAATCATTGCAACTGTTGCATGTTGCGTTTATATTTTTGTTCAGTGTATAATGACATTATTTCCCCATGTTTCTCTTGGCAGGTTTGGCCGCGACAGACACAGAGCTCCTTGCTACATCTGGGGAGACTTGGCCTCCGGGCTCCGGCTCAAGTCACAGCTTGAGAGAGCTGCAGCAGTGTGACAGCCTATCCAAAACATCCGGGAGTCACACTCTCTACCATGTGCTTTATTGGTCAAGAAAAGTTAAAAAGATCTGTGTTTTTCGTTAGACAATATTACACTATTATTACAGGGAATGTTTTGACTTTGGTGTTCGAAGATGTTGGGCTGAGTGAATACTGGTGAATATTCAATTTTTATTCTTATTTAAGGCTAAACTGTTGGTTGTCCATCTCCTCAGTAAGGTTGTTTTGAAGGTACTGACCTTCACTTAGTTCCTCCTGTGGATTGGGAGTCATCTCTGGCTCCTCAGTTGGTTGGATCTGGGGAGGCTCTGGTTCTGGCTCTGGTGTGTCAATCAAGTACTAAATGAGTCAAAGTATCCAAAAGCAACTACTTTTCCTATAATAACTATCTAAAATCTATTGTTTATAATAACTATTGCTTTATGAAATATACCTTTTGGTTTGTTATCGAATACGTTATCGCATGAGCTAGTCTTCAGTGTTGTTGTACTGGCTGGTCTTGAACTAAAACAGAAAATAGTCAAGATGAACTGACGGCTTCTGCATTTTAGCATGCATATTTATATGAATATACTGAATGCATAGTGCCAGCATGCCTATATTTAAATCAAAACTATACCTTTTGGTTAGTCATCGTTTATGTTATTGCATGAGCTAGTCTTCAGTGTTGCTGTGCTGCCTGTTTTTTTGGTGTTGTCTGTAATAATTATTAAAAGAGAAAATAGTCAAAACAAACTGATGCAGGCTACTGCATGAGTTTAAAATGTATTTGCCTATTTACAGTAACTTCGGAAAGTATTCAGACCCCTTGACTTTTTCCACATTTTGTTAGGTTACAGCCTTTTCTAAAATTGATTAAATTGTTTTTTTTCACTCATCAATCTACACGCAATACCCCAAAATGACAAAGCAAAAACAGGTTTGTAGAAAAATTTGCAAACCCCCCCCGGAAATATCACATTTACATAAGTATTCAGACCCTTTACTCAGTACTTTGTTGAAGCACCTTTGGCAGCAAGTCTTCTTGGGTATGACGCTACAAGCTTGGTACACCACTATTTGGGGAGTATCTCCCATTTTTATCTGTAGATCCTCTCAAGCTCTGTCAGGTTGGATGGGGAGATGTTAGATCGAGTTCAAGTCCGGGCTCTGGCTGGGCCACTCAAGGACATTCAGAGACTTGTCCCGAAGCCACTCCTGTGTTGTCTTGGCTGTGTGCTTAGGGTCATTGTCCTGTTGGAAGGTGATCCTTCGCCCCTGGCTGAGGTCCTTAGCTCTCTGGAGCAGGTTTTCATCAAGGATCTCTCTGTACTTTGCTCTGTTCATCTTTGCCTCGATCCTGACTAGTCTCCCAGTTCCTGCCGCTGAAAAACATCCCCACGGCATGATGCTGCCATCACCATGCTTCACCATAGGGATTGTGCCAGGTTTCCTTCAGGCGTGACGCTTGGCATTCAGGCCAAAGAGTTCAATCTTGGTTTCATCAGACCAGAGAATCTTGTTTCTCATGGTCTGCGAGTCTTTAGGTGCCTTTTGGCAAACTCCAAGCAGGCTGTCATGTGCCTTTTACTGAGGAGTGGCTTCCGTCTGGTGACTCTAACATAAAGGCCTTATAGGTGGAGTGCTGCAGAGATGGTTGTCCTTCTCCCATCTCCACAGAGGAACTCTGGAGCTTTGTGTGACCATTGCATTCTTGGTCACCTCCCTGACCAAGGCTTTTCTCCCCCAATTGCTCAGATTGGCCAGGCGGCCAGCTCTAGGAAGTGTCTTGGTGGTTCCAAACTTCTTCCATTTAAGAATGATGGAGGCCACTATGTCCTTGGGGACCGTCAATGGTGCAGAAATTTTTTGGTACCCTTCCCCAAATCTGTGCCTCGACATAATCCTATCTCGGAGCTCTACGGACAATTCCTTCGACCTCATGGCTTGGTTTCTGCTCTGACATGCACTGTCAACTGTGGAACCTTATATAGACAGGTGTGTGCCTTTCCAAATCATGTCCAATCAATTGAATTTACCACAGGTGGACTCCAATCAAGTTGTAGATACATCTCAAGGATGATCAATGGAAACAAGATGCACCTGAGCTCAATTTCGAGTCTCTTAGCAAAGGGTCTGAATAGTTATGTATTTCTGTTTTTTATTTTTAATACATTTGCTAAAATTTCTACAAACCTGTTTTCGCTTTGTCATTATGGGGTATTGTCTGTAGATTGATGAGGTACATTTTTTATTTAATCAAATTTAGAATAAGGCTGTAACGTAACAAAATGTGGAAAAAGGGAAGGGGTCTGAATACTTTCCGAATGCACTGTACATGCATAGTGCCAGCATCCCTATCTTTCTTGTCATACTATCATGTACTAGACATTATTTCATACATTGTTTCATGTCATACATATTATTTCATACATGAAATCAGGGGTGCAACTTTCACTGGGGACATGTCCCCACTACATTCTGAAATTGCATTTTTGTCCCCCCCAGTTTTATAATTGGAATGTGATACAAAACGAGGCAACGGTGTGCTTTAGGACCATCCGGATGCCTCCGAGCAATCGTATATATGGCTGTTTGGAGTGTTTATCCGACTGAAAAAAAAAGTGATGTCTCTCTCACTTCTAAAATCAAAGTTGCGTCCCTGCATGAAATAATATATAAATAAAAGTTATATGCAGAAAAACTGCATGGTTTCATTGTAAGATTTTACTTCACAAGACTATGTTAGGTGTCTTTGACATTTTACTAACCTTCTATGCCACACTGACTGTTGTAATCTGGGCAGCACTTGTTGTACCGTGCACAGTCAGGATCACAGTCACACAGCCTTCCCCTCTTAAAGGATTCACCACACCGCCCTTTACACGCGTCACCTGGTACACAGACATACAGTACATCCATTATCACACCAGTCCTGGTTATGTTATTATAACACATGCATAATACCTGTATGTACATGTGGGTCTTTATCATCTGAATAAATTACACATCATACACTCTCATGGATCATTATGATGTACATTTTGTTTATGATAATGCAGGGTTTCCCAAACTCTGTACTGCAGACCCAAGGGGTGCACATTTTGGCTTTTGCCATAGCACTACACAGCTGATTCAAATAATCAACTCATCATCACGCTTTGATTATTTGAATCAGCTGTGTAGTGCTAGGACAAAAAACAAAACGTGCATCCCTAGGGGTCCCCAAGACCCAGTTTGGGAAACTCAGATACCACTAATACAGTAAAAATATAAGAAAAGTCCTTACTGGTGGTGCACTGGGATTCGTAGTCCATACAGCACTCATCGTGAGTGAGACAGTCATAATCACACTGGCACATGTAACCCCTGTAATACTCTCCTCCACATCGCCCATTACAGCTTGCTATACAGAAAAGACAACAACATAATGTATATTTAGTGTCATTCAGTAGCCTAGCACAGGGTTTCCCAAACTCGGTCCTGCCCCTGGATGCACAGTTTGGTTTTTGCCCTAGCACTACACAGCTGATTCAAATAACCAACTCATCATTAAGCTTTGATAATTTGAATCAGCTGTGTAGTGCTAGGGCAAAAACCAAAACGTGCACCCGGGGGTGGGGGGGGGGCCCATGACCAAGTTTGGGAAACCTTGGCCTAGTTTGGGAAACCTTGGCCTAGCACACAGTCATGGAGATACTGTTTATCCACAAAGAGACAGTCACAAGTCACCAGCTATTTCAAGAGTATCAATATCATTTCAACAATAAGGCCGTGTCACATTTGTCACATTAACTTGTCACTAGTGCTGAGCGATTAGTGCTTTTTGAGGTCTGTTCGGTTTCGGTTCGATTCTGAAAAAATGATCACAGTTTTCGATTTTCTGTTTCAAATGTTCTTATTTTTTAAAACATTAAATGCGCTATGCATTATGTGGGTTGAAAGCTGTAACAACACAGTGTACAACTATTAATAAAAGTCCCATTATGCTAGTGACTACCCATTACTGTTTATCACTTATTACCCATCATTTATTCACATTACTTTACTTTAATAAAATATTTGTTTTATTTGATGACTTTATTATTTAATTCCAAGTCATCATCTCATATCGAGCTGCTGCATATGCTGTCTAACAAAATCATTATTTTAGTAGTACTTTTATGACCTCTGAATACCAACTATCAATCACTAGATCATGTATTCTTCAGGCTTGCAAAGCAACTGCTTTCTATCCATCTCGATCCCATGTTCTCTATTCTCTCAGTCTCCGCACAGACCGGACAAGTTTAAGCGGCACACACAATGGATTATGGTCATTGTAGGTAATTACCACATTTTCTGCGCTAAACTATCCTGAACAAAAATATAAAAGCGACATATAAAGTATTGGTCCCATGTTTCATGAGCTGAAATAAAAGATCCCAGAAATTTTCCATACACAAAGAAAAACGTATTTCTCTCAAATGTTGTGCACAAATTTGTTTACATCCCTGTTAGTGAGCATTTCTCCTTTGCCAAGATAATCCATCCACCTGACAGGTGTGGTATATCAAGAAGCTGATTAAAAAGCAAGATCATTACACAGGTGCACCTTGTGCTGGGTACAATAAAAGGCCACTCTAAAATGTGCAGTTTTGTCACACAACACAATGCCACAGATGTTTCAAGTTTTGAGGGAGCATGCAATTGGCATGCTGACTGCAGGTACGTCCACCAGAGCTGTTGACAAATAATGTTGTTTTAGAGAATTTGGCAGTACGTCCAAACCGGCCTCACAACCACAGACCACGTGTAGCCACAGACCACGTGTAACCGCATCTGGGTTCTTCACCTGCGGGATATTCTGAGACAAGCCACCCGGAAAGCTGATGAAACTGAGGAGTATTTCTGTCTGTAATAAAGCCCTTTTGTGGGATAAAAACTCTGATTGGCTGGGTCTGGCTCCACAGTGGGTGGGCCTGGCTCCCAACTGGGTGGGCCTATGCGCTCCCAGGCCCACCCATGGCTGCGCCCCTGCCCAGTCATGTTAAATCCATAGATTAGGGCCTAATGAATTTATTTCAATTGACTGATTTCCTTATATGAACTGTAACTCAGTAAAAGCGTTAATATTGTTGCATGATGCGTTTATATTTGTGTTCAGTATATGTAGAATATTGGCCTATTGGAAACTACAGACCCCTACTACATCGCACAGTTCAGGCTTGATCTGATTTATCGCTACAGAAACTGCACATCAAGCTCACAGAAAAAACCTGAACAAAATGGAATTCAAATAATTTAACCGATGTCTTCAATAATTTTGGTTAATTTCTCAGCACTACTTTTCACGTGTCACACTGACAAGATAATGGCTTAATCATACATTATAGAGCCAGAATACACTTTTTCCGCCTCTAGTTAATAATTTGTTGATAAGTAAATAGAAATCAGAGCGTGGTCAAGCAGTACACACAATCTGTTATACCTTCTCGGAAAGCAGTTCAGTACACTCATGGTAATTTAAATAAAGAGAGTGACAACACGCATCTTTATCTCTAACTGACGTTAAAACAATTTAGAATAAAACCCAGAAACACCACACATAAGGAGCTGAATCAAATCAATTTACATACGCAGTGATTACAAATACTCACACTGAGCATAATTGAATGGGAGAGCACAAGCCAGCAGAAAAGCAGAGAAAACTGATGGAGTCATTGTCACAGGTGTCCTCTGTTTCAACCTGAGCAGTAGCATATCAGACTGAAAGGAGAGAAGAAAAAAACAACTCAATTCTATTCATTTCTATTCTATTATAATTCATATGACCTATATACAACAATTACTTGAGAGTGAAAAGTCTCATTGTACCTTGAAAGAGTACCCCTTTGTCCAGATCTAGCTGAGTCCTGCACTGTGTCTGCTTTTATAAAGACTGGGAGAGAGGCTGGCTGCCGGTTTCGTGTCTGATAAGGATTCTGAATCTGGTCCAAATAAAACCCACAAGTGATTCGCAGACGAGACTCCTACTCACTGAAGGGAGAGAACCCTAGACTGCACGTTTCCCCCCTTGAACAAGAACTGGAACTGCTCCAACACACACGTGTGTTTACTGTGCAAGTCAGATGACATCACAGACTGGTGTACACTTTTCTTTCAAAACATATCACTAACAAAAAAAGTTCAGCAAAAGGGTATTCAATTAACTCAATAGTCTGAATATTGTCTGTGGCAATCTGAAATAGGCAGGGTAGGTTATTCTATCCTTTCCTGAACTCAATAAAATTCTGTTCACGGAAATAATGTCTCAAAATTCAACCAGATCCCAAATATATTTAGCTAATATTGTTCAGGAAGCAGTAGTTGTAGCCTATTTCATTTGATTAGGGTAGGAGAATATTACATGATTAGGCTATGTGATTATGCAATGATTATGGTAATATTTTACTGGAAGCAAATAGACTGGGGGGGACCACGCCAGTCCATTAGGCTACTCACGACTGTTTGTTTTTATTATAAGGATGACTGGCGCGGTTTAGCTCGTGTGGTCGGGCTGGTCACATGTGTGTGGTCCTCATGCCACATACAAATACAACTTTTATTTAGGGCCTTTCCATTTGATTTCAATCACTTTCTGACTGGAGAAATGTAACAACTCTCAAATGCATAGACAGAGCTATGGATGCAAGGACTGACCATCCATGATGATCGTTTTAAACATGTTTTGAGACTACAGCGCATTCGGAAAGTATTCAGACCCCTTGACCATTTCCATATTTTGTTACGTTACAGCCTTATTCTAAAATGGATTCAATTATTGTTTTTCCTCATCAACCTACACACAATACCCCATAATGACAAAGCGAAAACAGAAATGCCTTATTTACATAAGTTTTCAGACTCTTTGCTATGAGACTCGAAATTGAGCTCAGGTGCATCCTGTTTCCATTGATCATCCTTGAGATGTTTTTGCAACGTGATTGGAGTACACCTCTGGTAAATTAAATTGACATGTTTTGGAAAGGCACACACCTGTCTATTAAAAGGTCCCACAGTTGACAGTGCATGTCAGAGCAAAAACCAAGCCATGAGGTCGAAGGAATTGCCTGTAGAGCTCAGCGACAGGATTGTGTCGAGGCACAGATCTGGGGAAGGGTACCAAAACATTTCTACAGCATTGACTGTCCCCACGAACACAGTGGCCTCCATCATTCTTAAATGAAAGAAGTTTGGAACCACCAAGACTCTTCCTAGAGCTGGCCACCCGGCCAAACTGAGCAATCGGGGGAGAAGGGCCTTGGTCAGGGAGGTGACCATGAACCCGATGGTCACTCTGACAGAGCTCCACAGTTCCTTCCAGAAGGAAAAACAATCTCTGCAGCACTCCACCAATCAGGCCTTTATGGTAGAGTGGCCAGACAGAAGCCACTCCTCAGTAAAAGGCACATGACAGCCCGCATGGAGTTTGCCAAAAGGCACCTAAAGGACTCAGACCATGAGAAACAAGATTCTCTGGTCTGATGAAACCAAGATTGAACTCTTTGGCCTGAATGCTAAGCGTCATGTCTGGAGGAAACCTGGCACCATCCCTATGGTGAAGCATGGTGGTGGCAGCATCATGCTGTGGGGACATTTGCAGCGGCAGGGAATGGGAGACTAGTCAGGATTGAGGCAAAGAAGAACGGAGCAAAGTACAGAGAGATCCTTGATGAAAACCTGCTCCAGAGCGCTCAAGACCTCAGACTGTGTCGAAGGTTCACCTTCCAACAGGACAACGACCCTAAGCACACAGCCAAGATAACGCAGGAGTGGCTTCAGGACAAGTCTCTGAATGTCCGTGAGTGGCCCAGCCAGAGCCTGGACTTTAACCCGATTGAACATCTCTGGAGAGACCTGAAAATCGCAGTGCAGCAACGCTCCTATTGGGGATTTATTATTCTCCTAAATTGATGGGATGACTAACTTAGAAAGAATGCATTCTTGACTGGGCTAATGTAGGTTGTGACACCTGGGGAGGCTGTGATTGATGTGAAGAGCTGTTTTAGTGGGTAAAATAAGATAAGGATTGTGTCTTCAAATGCTAGAATATACTGGTTCTTTGTGATCTATGAGCCTTCCTTTGACGTAGGAATGATGTCTAAGGGAGCTGGCTCTTCTCACTATGATAGGTTGTTATCATAATCTTGTGCCTGGCTGAAGTGTGCAACAAATGGCGCCGAGGAGATGAGACCAACCCCTGAACTAACGGATTGGCTGAGAAAGTTTAAACCACGCTCAAGTCTTTACTCTAATTGGCCAGCAGAGAAGTGGGAAACTTCCTCTGTCAGAGTATTTGGGTATTGTTTCTGAAACAATGTTGTTAGTTCTCTGGAGTGTCCTGCGAGGCATCACAGAGAGCCCGTATATACGAAA